GATTCAGCCCAGGGGACAGAGCTCTGTCCTCCTGCTGCTGTCTCGTCGCGACGTCAAGCCGGAAGTCTGGCTCCCCGCTGTTTTGCTGACCTCATTTCGCAACACAACGAGCGGAAAATGGCCGCCATATGGAGGATTTTCGCTGCACGAGCAGGTATTTCCCTCATTGGAATGCATTGACCGGTTTTCAATGCATTTCAATGGTTGTTTTTGTTTTTGTTGTTGTTTTTTGCTTGATGACGATTTCGCTGTACAGCGATTTTGCTGGAACGGATTATCATTGTCAAGCGGGGCACCACTGTACTAGAAAATACAGATTCCCTGCTCTGCGAATGAACTATATCATGCTCTGAACTTCCACATTACCCAACAACACCCTAGGCCAGCAACGGCAAACCTATGGCACATGTGCCACAGCTGGCACACAGAGCCCTTTCTGCGGGCACACGAGCCATAAGTCACCGGTCCACTACTCCCGCCCCCCCGAGCAGCCAAACCTGAGAAGGTGGCTGCAGCTGCTGTGCTGGTGCTTTGACAAGCGGATCCGGAGCAGCTGGTGCTGCTGGTGGATCCGGAGTGGGGTCACGAGGCACCTCCGTGCCCAGGATTCCCCTTTCTGCTGCCACCACATCTGGTTCTGCCGCAGCATGCCACCCACTAGGTTTTTTTTCTAGTTTTGGCACGCAAACCCAAAAAGGTTCACCGTCACTGTCCTAGGCCATAAGATATTGCTACAGCAGAATTATAATTATCCAATTCCACTTTTAAGTAAACCAAAGTCCTCTGTTACATCCCAGTTTGGGAAGATTCAAGTTTGCTGAATCTAGTCAAGTCTAAGAAGAGAGGCTCAAACTGTAGCTTTTGATCCCAGCTTGTTAGCTAAATAAGATATCAATTCTGCCAATATGGACGCAACAGCAAACTAGTTTGTTTAAAAGCAGAAATGCTCCCTGTCATGATGAAGGGGTATGTAGTTAGAGAAATGTAAGATGGAGTTAGACAGGTTCTGTGTGAAGATGATTTGAGAGACATTGGAATGTGTTTTTCTAAGTGCTATGAGAGTGTTTTTCTGAAGACTGTTACAGTATGGTTTGAGATAGAGCTGAAGGTTGGATCAAGAGGCCTGTGGAAGACTCAACATTACCAGCTAATTGGAGAAGAGATAAAACAACTGGACTTTCATGGGAATTAAGGGAGGAGAAAGGTGTTACAGCCCGTTGAGGCTAATTGGTTAACAGACAGAATTGTCAAGAAGAAAGGAGGAGTTAGAGAGTGTAGAAAATGAACATAGGTTATGTGAAAGAAGTTCTGTTCTGGATTTCGATCCCATGATGATGGGAGAGAGAAAGAACTTGATGGTTTGAGCATGTGGCTTGAAGGAGAAAGAATGTAAGTGAAGAGAAAGGAGGAGGTGGGGTTAGCCTACCTTAGCCCAGCTTAGTAGTGTTTATTATTTTAATGGGGATTAGTTATTTTATTTAACTGTAATGATCTTTGAATATGTTCTTTATGCTAAAGCTTGAGCAATATAAACTGATTCTATGAAACTATTTTTCTAATAAAATTATTTATAAAAATTCTTACAAAAGGGCTGGTCTCTTGAACATCCAGGGAGTGGAGAGGGCCACAAACTAGCTATTTTTAAGAGTCCTACCTAACTGAGCTGTTGTGAGTTCTAAGGAATCATAAAGCCCATGTGTCTGTACTTGCAAAGTACTGGGTAAAAGTAAAGTGTTCTTTTAAGGTCAAACTTGTTCAAGGGGCTTACGCTATGCACTGCTGGGGTCTTGGGACTTGCCTCAGCGCAAAAGTGGTAGGTAAGTGGCCAGTCAAACTCTCTGATTGAGGGCCAAGCGCTCCTTAGGGAGGCCTGAGCACCACACTCCCTATCAGTTCCTCTGACATTTAAAAAAACAGGGAAAGACGAATGCATGCTGCAGTTTATACACATAAATGAACTACTGCATTGTCAGGATTTCTAATGTTTTATATGTGGAATTTGGTCCATGGTTGTGGGATCACAACCCCACCTTGATAAACAGAACCTAAAATATCTGTTTATGGCCTAACAAAGCAATCAACTAATCATCATGTGACAAGCTACTTACCTTATATATAATATGGATTGTCTGTCTTGTAAAAGCAAAGGAGATGATGAATCATGTGAGTCAGGCCTCGGTTTGTGTCTTTTATAGTCTAGCACTTTTAATTTTAGTTACAGAGTAAGTATACACCTACACATTCAAACAAAAATCAATCACGGGCAATCCTAAATCCTTATTCAATATTTGATCGACAGTTTCTATTGACAGCTTAGCAGTTCTGTTAGAACTTAATTACTGTAAAGAAGCAGAATGGAACTCACCGCATGTGCTGGGTTACACTGGTCTATGGGACTCTTGAAGTCTGTCTTCAACTCGTCAAATGCTATTATCTGCAGGAGAAACAATGCAATTAATTACTTACAGAAATAGTTTTTCCTGTTGTCATGAGTTGTATTATTTATCTCTTAACAGGAAAGAACTTCTTCCTTTCAGCTTTAACAAATTTTACCCAGATTTGTTAAAAACAGCTTACAATAGCATGGGCTGAACAAACTCAGTTCATTGCATGGAAAACTAATGTACAAAAGTATGAGAAAAACAGTTTCTCCATCTTCCATATTTTTATCTCCATTAAACAGATGTAAATATGTGGTCACTGATCATAAACATAAAAGGATCACGTTTAATAATATAAAAGGAAATGGCTAGCCAGATAAGGAATAGGAAAGGACACATCAGATCAACAACATATGAATAGAATCAACTCATTCTATATTAAGCACAGTTATATTGTTATCCTAAGCATGAGCATCTGCTCAGTTTAGCATTATGTCAGAATGTAATTTTCCAGATTTTAGTTGCTCCACTGGAGGACTGACAGGTGTTTTTTAAAACAATTTCTATATCCATAATACCGGCACTGGAGACATCTTATCTAGCTCTCACTACATGTTTCCTATAGCGCCTTCCTTCAGCTGTGAAAATTATACCAGCTACAGCCCTACCTGGACGAGCAGAGTCTCATAACAGTTTACACATGCACTGGTAACATCTCATATAGATTACTGCAATGCGCTCTATGTGGGGCTGCCTTTGAAAATGGTCCGGCGACTGCAAATGGTCCAGAATTGAGCTGCACAGCTGGAGAGTGGTGGGGCTGCTAGGGGACAAATCAGGCCAATTCTGTTTAAATTACATTGGCTACCAGTTGCTGCCCGGGTCCAATTCAAAGTGCTTGTTTTGACATATAAAGCCCTAAACGGCTTGGGCCCTGGATACCTGAAGGACCGCCTCCTTCCGTATGAACCTATCCGGCAGTTAAGATCTAGCCAGGGGACCCTTTTGAAAGAGCCGTCCGTCAAGGAGGTAAGAGGGATGGCTTGTAAACAAAGGGCCTTTTCGGCAGCTGCCCCCAGATTATGGAACACCATCCCAATTGAGATTCATCTGGCACCGACGCTGATGATATTTTGGCGCCAGGTCAAAAATTCCTGTTCCAGAAGGCTTTTAATTGAAATAATATCAACTGTGGGTCCTGATGGCAATTTTTAGAGTGTATATTTTAATTTTATTTTAATGATTTTATCTTTTAATTAATTAATTAATTGGACTTAGATGCCATCCATCTAGGCATTGTCTACTCTGGGCGGCTCATAACAAGCATAAAAGTACAAAACAATAATAAAAAGTACAAAACAATTGATATATAATAACAATTTTACCATTTACAGCAGTTAACAATCATTCAAGATGGAGAGAAAAAAGGTAAATTAAGTGGTGCCCGGAGGGAAGGCCTGTCTAAATAGCCAGGTCTTAAGATGGTTTTTGAAAATGCCCAGCAAAGGGGCCAAATGGATCTTGTAGGGGAGATTGTTCCAAAGACAGGGAGCCACTGCCGAGAAGGCCTTGTTTCTTGTTTTTGTTCAAGGAAGCCATGGTTTCCCAGAACTCAAGAGCTGGACCAGAAGTCTCTGCCTCTGCATGGACGTTGAAATTACCCAAGACCAAAAGCCTCGGCGTTAGGCTCCTCAGTCTCCCCTCCTGGCTAGAACGGGTGATACGAGTAGATCTAAGTGGGAGGAGGTGTTTCGCCAAATATCAAGGTCCTAAACCATTTAGGGCTTTGTATGTGATCATTAGAACTTTGAAATCAATGCGGAAGCGAACGGGCAGCCAGAACAAGGCGGCCAGTGCTGCAGAGAAAAAGTCCACCAGCTCAGGTAGGGAGATGGCTCGGTCGCGGAGAGCACAGTAACCCAGCAAAATCCCAATACCATCTCTGGCCCCTATCAACACATGGAGGGCCTCAAAACCCAGCTTCACCACCGCGGAGCGCCTAGTAACCTCTAGAGTGTTTTTATATACAATGGCTATTTCCCACCCACCCCAGTCCCTCCTGTCTGCACTGGTGCTGGACAGCACAACCGGGAGAACAGACAAGGGTCAGGGCTGACCCTTTACAACAAATTTAAAATGAATTTTAATTGTTGTAAGCCGCCCAGAGACCTTTGGGTAGAGTGGGCGGCATATAAGTTAAATAAATAAATAAATAAATAAACCAAGAAGAGTAAGTGTATGGAGAAAACCAGTAGCAACAGAAAAGTAAGTGTATGGAGAAAACCAGTAGCAACAGAAAATCAAAAACGGTCAGAGGGTAATTGTTCTCTCACCATTTTCCTGTTGGGCTACAATTCCCATTGTCACCAGACAAAATGAACCAGGGTACAAGGATTAGAAGTATGATATTAAGAGATTGGCTCAAACCTTCCCCTTTGTTCCAAGTAGATATACGATCCCACCTCAAACTCTGATTGGTCTCTGCCCAGAGATTATCACAATATACTCAGAATCGACACAGTCCAGCCAAGAGAGGGTCCGAAGTAAACGTCAAACAGAAAATCAGTCTCTTCTAAAAAGAGAAAACCGTCGTAGTCCTGTAATAACTCCAGATCTAATTTTCTTCGGTCCTCCGTCTGTTCTGCTGAGCTCCTCTCGCTGCTCAATTAATAGTTTACTGTCATTTCCCGCGGCTTTATTTTTCCTTCCAAAATCAAAAACACTTCTGTTTTCAAAGTCCCGTTCGCCTGCCTTCTTCCACTCTTCAGTCTATGTCGCCACGTTGATAATTCCTTGCTTATTTTTTATTCCCGAAAGCCTGTGCCTCCTGCTCCAAAGATGTAGTTTTATTTTCAAAGTCCACTCAGTTAGTAAGGGAAGTCCAGATTGCACAGCTCTAACAAGAATTCAGTCTCTCTTGCATGGTATTTCCTCTGGGATTTTTTCCAGAAACACAAAGTTTTTCTCGCAATGTATCTGAGTAACCTTGGCCAGCTTGCAATCCCCTTGCTGTTTATCAGATAGTTCACTTTAGGAAAGAAAAAAAAAGACAAGTTGGTATGCTGGCTTGCCGCTTCCCTTCCCTCCTTTTGCTATTGTTTCTGTTCTCTTCCTCGGGAAGTTGGGGGTGGAGTTTTCCCACAGCTTTCTGCCATAAGATATGGCCTCCCGTCTCCGGTCTGCGCATAGGTGAATTTTCAGAGGGAAGAAATACCCAGTTGCTGCCAAATCTTCTACCCTTCTGGGCTCACCTGCTTGGGGGTGCCTCTCCTGGCACCCCCTTCCGTCGCCCCCTTCTTGGAGGGACGGTCAGGCCGGACGGTTCCAGTTTTCCCCAGAGCTGTTCACCGGGTGCTGCTGGCTTCACTGCAGTCAAGCTCCGCCTCAGGAGTGAACAGGAAAGCTTTAATTGACACCAATGGGAGTTTTCTTCTTGAAGTTAACAGCAATGGTCTTTGGGAGGACCACAGCAAGGGTGGGGTGAGAAGATTAAACATACCATGGTCCCGATCCATCTGCCTGCTTCTGCCACAGTGCATATATTTGAAAACTATGTGTGATAAAAAGCATGTATGTGATTAGTACACAAGTTGCTTTTTAATTCTGTCTACCATTCTGCTATTGGGAATTTCTTTGTGATGTACCAATAGCTTGTTACCTCAGTTGTATAGTTTTTTTATTGTGTTGTTTCCTGTCATCTGTTTCTTTTCATCTTCAAATGAATACAAAAGAGATTAAGGTAACCTTGCCAAGAACCAGCTTTCAAGAAAGCATCACTATTCATTTAACAACACATTTCCTGTTCAGTACACTTGTAGCGTATTAAATATTCTGAATCACCAAATATCTATATGTAGAATTTTGTTTTTGTGACTAACACCTTATAGAACCGCACAGTATGAGATTTTGTTCTTGTGAGGTCATGTAAAATGGTCATTTACTTTGGATTTTTCATTTTGTAACATCCAGAATCCTGTGCTATTAAATCGCATGTAAAATGTAAAATTGCAGCACTATGTAAATTCAGTTTGGTTAGCTCAGGGATATTTTCCTTCACAAATATTCACATTCATTTGTTTATATTAAAATTTATATACTACTTTCTCATTCAAAATTGAGAGATTTGTAGCAGCTAATATCACATGAAAACAACAAGCCAACAATGAAACATGAAGGTACATCATAATAACAGCAGCAATAATGTGTCAAAAACTAATAGCTAGCAATGAGACAGATTCAACTGAAAATCTAATCTGTGCTGAGCAGAATATAATCATGGTCTTCCCTCCTTTACCTCAAGAAAATTCTACCTTGACCTTCAAAAGCTGGCCACACTTATGTCATGTTTAAAATTTGCCATTAGACCATATTTTCTCACTTTTCCAAAAGTAGAATCTTGGAAACAACAATTACTGTAATAATGAGTCACTGAATGATAGTAGCACAAGAGGATTTTTGCAGCTTTTTAAATAAAAGTCCACACCATTATTATGACAAAAATGTTACATTTCTTAACAACTCATTTTTAATGCCTACTCCCACCAAGTTCTACCCGTGTCCCTCGAGCGAGCCAGGAGGTGAGGCTGAGGAGCCTAATGCTGAGGGAGGCCCAGAAGGAGAAGACAAGAAATCGGGCCTTCTCGGCGGTGGCTCCTCACCTCTGGAACAATCTACCTCCTGGGATTCGCGGGGCTCCCTCACTGGGTATCTTTAAAAAGCAATTGAAGACATGGATGTTTCGGCAGGCCTTTCCTCCAGACAATTCCTGATGTTTCTCTTCTTTTCCGCTGCACTTGGTTTCTATTTTTGTAAAGTTTTTATTATTTACGCTGTTGTATGTATGTATACTTTTATTACCTGATGTTAGTCGCCTAGAGTGGTTCTCAGTTGGCTAGACAGGCGGGATATAAATAAAATAAATAAATAAAAATAAATAAATTAAATAAAAACTATTCCTTAAGGTTTTTTCCAGTGAGCTATTCCTTCTTGCTTTTTATATGATTGCTTCTTTCTCTCACGTGATGTCCTCTACATCTACAGTAAACTGTAGCAA